TACTGTCTAGTTGCCTTTCCCCAACCAAACATTTGGCCAAATCTCCCTGTGCTCCAAGCACCTGTAAGATCAGGAATAGGAAGGAAACTGTGGAATAAACCTTGGTTCTTCCAAGAACACTGGCAGTCGTTGCTGTGACAGTTAGAAGCTGGCGCATTTACTGAGCAAGTTCTCACATGTGCTGCCGACTCCTCCCTGCCCACGTCCCGGGAACAGGGTCTGTCTGTCGTACCAACTATGTACTCAAACCGGAGTACAGAGCAGTCTTCTTTGCAGCAGGGGAGGAGCTTAACAGATTCACTGAGTGCCTCTGTGGAGAGCTTGTCGTGGGGCAGCCTTTTAATAAGAAATTAGAGCCAAGAGTCAATACGGGTGAGGGGAATCCATCCAGAAAATCTGCAGCTTGGCATGCTTGCTTTCCAGACGACTTTGCCCAGAACTCTGTGAAGGAAAATCTCCTGATGAAGAAAGAGCTGGAGGAGGAGCGATCCCGGTACCAGAACCTCGTGAAGGAATACTCGCGGCTGGAGCAGAGATTTGACAACCTTCAGGACGAGCTCACCATCATAAAGGCAAGGAGGGCAGTGTGTCCCCCCCACCCTGCAGCCCCGGTGCTGCCCCTGGGCTCCACCCACCTCCCTAACCCTTGCTCTTCCACAATGCCGGGCTCAAGGTGTGTGTTGTGAGCTCGGTGTTGCCTTCCAGCACCTGCTCTTGCTGGTCCCGCTGAGGGGAATCACACAAGGAAGTAGCTGGGCTGGATTATTCCTTCCTAAGAATAGTTCCTTTTCCAACTTTGCAGTCTTACAAAGCACTAAGTTATGAGTTTAAGGAAATGCCACCCAAATGTATGTTATCTCTCCTATTTCCTGCTCGGGGCCAATTGCTGTGTTTGAAATACTAACGGTATACGGTAGTTCTGATCTCAGCTTCGTTAGGGTGTGTGGCAGAGACTCCCACGGGTGCCTTGGGGTCAGGTCTCCTAACCTCTGATGAAATGTATTGATAGTATATGTAGAAATAATTTCAGGATATTTTAGGGTTTCTCTTTTTCTTAACAAGCTGTAGAATCAAGGAACATATATTTCAGGATTTGTTATTTTTTACTCCTTATAAACATTCCCTCCAGAAATGCATATCTAAACAAGGAAGATAAGTTAATTGCATAGAAGCCGGGAAGAAAAGCTGAAAAGGAAAATATATGGAAATCTAAAATTCTACTAAACTCAGTTTTTGTTCTGAAAACCAAATCAAATGCCAAAAAAAAAAGGTATTTTTAAATGAACACTATTAAATGGTAAACTCTATTTCTACAATGCCACAATTTTTGTGAGCAAAACTGGAGTACAGGTGAATGAAGGGGGCCACCCAAGGGCAGGTCTGCAACTTTATTTTCAGGAGGGAGGTGAGTAGCTACACGTGGATTGCAAGGGCAAGACCAGAGTGAAAGGTTGTTTCCCCAGACTTACCCTAGAAATTGGCCTAAGGTTTATGGATTTGCGTTTCATTAAGAGACAAGGGAACTAGTCCTTACTGTGGAGCTGTGTTCTCTTCTAGTTGTCATGGTGTGGGTTAGCTGAATGGAAGTCTGTAAGCCCTGCGGGTGGAATGTTCTGTGGGACTGGTAATAAGCCGTCATTTCAAGAAGCAGCAACACCTGTTCTAGCAGATAGGCGAGGTGGAAGGCTCTCAGGGACTGCAGCTCTTTTAGAAGCACGCTCTTCCTAACATTAGTCTGCTCTGTGTCATTATCTTCTTCTCCTCAAACAGCAAACTCCCGGCCACAGGCGGAACCCATCTAACCAAAGCAGCTTAGAATCGGACTCCAATTACCCCTC